GGTTTCAGACCTGGTCGAGGCTGTATTGACCACATCTTCACACTCCGTCAAATTCTAGAACATAGACACTTCTTTCGTAGACCCACCATTTTTATTTTCCTGGATCTGAAAGCGGCTTTTGACTCAGTCGACCGCTCTTAACTGGGGCACTGCCTTTCCCTGAAGGGAGTACCCGATAAGTTTTTTTCAATATTATAGTCCCTCTAAAATAATAGCCGAAACCGAGTTCGAGCTTACGGCACTTTTTCATCCTAGTTCACCACGGAAAGAGGTGTTCGATGGGGTTGCCATCTCTCTCTTTTTCGATTTAACTTTGTCATAGATTTAATTCTTGAAACAGCCGTATCCTCCTGCAGGGATAGTGGTATCGATTTATTTCAGGGTGACAGACTGTCTGATCTAGAGTATGCAGACGACATTGTGCTACTAAGTGAAGATCCAGGTAAGTTGCAAGCTTTTCTGGATAGTTTGAGTGCTAGTGTAGCGATGTTCGGTATGCGTTTTGCACCTCCAAGGTAAAATGCTACTGCTTTGATCCAGCACCCAGTCTCACCCTTACTGGGGAAGTAGTAGAGGAAGTAGACAAATTTTGCTATCTAGGCAGCTATATCTCACCCGGCGGACGCATCACAGATGAAGTGTCGGCGCGCATACAAAAGGTTCGATTGGCATTTGCCAACTTGAGACATTTGTGGCGCCGTCGCGACATCGCAAAATCCGTATATGGACCAGAATGTGTGAAGACGTCCATAAACACGGACCGGAAGTGCTATCCAGTAGCATTGTACGGCTTTTGTTTGACTCCGGTCACCATGTAGGCCCACCCAAGTTTCGAGTCATTACGAGATCTCTCTGGTAACCACCAGATTATCATCGCGGGGCTGTGTACTCGAACCCTGCCTTCACCGCCTGACTCTCCATATTGCGTGTTCAATCGCAGCCCTTTGATTGGTCGCTTCCCCCTTCCTGAAAATAGTATCTTTGTACATTCAATAAGAAGCAAGCAGTGAAAAAAGAAGTGTTCATCGCGCTTAGCTCTCAGCTACTCATGAGTAGTGGTGTATGATAGTCAGAATTAAAATGTCTTTTTATTTATTGAATATGCAGTCATACAAAAGCTGCCTGGGGAAAATACAGTTATAAGGAAGATGGACGGCGGTGGAGCGGTTTGAACCGGGGACACCCAGGTCACTAGTTGGTGAACTAACCATTTGGCCACCACCAAGTAACCATCCTTCAGACTTCCCCTTCACGCACAATTCTCAGTTCTTCCTGTCAACGAGACACTCGGAAGCATTGCAGACTCGAGCTTCGCTCTTATTGGAGTTTGGAAAATCTGAAAAGATGTGATGGAAAAATTGAAAGCACAAGAACTTTTCGTCAGTACCATATTCGAGCAAGTCATTCTTCCCCCGGTTTTCGGTAATTCGATATAGACATGAGGTCGAAATCCGAAGTGTGCGGAGCGACACAACATTGTGCAACCATGTTTGAAATGTAGTTTAGGGGAAAAGAAAAAGCATTGACGGTTACTGTTGAATAGGCGTTGTACGGTTTACGGAATTTGGCCTCCGTTCATTGTTAGTTTTTTTCACGACTGTTTACCATATTCCACCAAAGGATGAGACGTCACAGATTGCCTTACTTGCAGTTTTTTATTCCCTAATCAAAAAGTAATGTTTCTATTTAATCAGTTTCACCTGTTTTCTGATCCGCGAAAACTATGCATCACCTGAGTGTACATTTATTCCGTGACTCATTTTCCTCTCACTCATACCCACTTTTGTGTACAGTGTACGAAACTCTTTCCAGGCCGCCCGCCTTCTACTCACTCATCTGGGTTATTTGACGGTCAACAGTTTCGCGATGCTCGGTCCGGATGTAACCAATGCACGACTGGCTCAGACCGCAGGAACCAACGGAACTGGCACTGCCACCGCGACGACGGAGACTCGTCGGAACTCGCAGCATCTCCCGGGCGATACAACAGTGTCGCCCGGTCAGCCACTTGCCGGTTTGGCCGCTGCCGGGTCCACACCGGGAGGTGCAAGTAATGTCGGTCCAGGGCAAACTCTTACAACTGACCAATCTTTAACGCCCGGTCCACTCTTCTATCCGCTTGATTCTAGTCAACCAGATTTCATGCAATTGTTAGACAGTTTGGATTGTTTGCCCACACGTACGGCCGACACGCTTCTCGTATTCTATGTGGCCTCAGGACAACGAAAACCGGAGGAGATTTTGGGCAATATGGTAAGCACAAAGGATCGTTTATTGTTGCCGGTCGATGATTCATCAAAGGTGATAACGGCCACATCCGTTGGTTACAATTTCATCAACAATTGATGCTATCCAAGTTCCTAAAAATTGGTTACAATCGTATGCCCTAATTTCGTGAAAATAATAAATCTGGCTCCCGCTATCAAACTACCTTCAATAATATACATCATCATCATCATCATCGTACAGCGAAAGACAGGAAAACAAACTTCACTGATCGCTACCAAACTCGCAATGCATAGAAGGTTAGTGGTAAAATTTAAGCT